ACGTTCCTAAACCATCGGTGGCTGCATGAGTAATTTCAACAAGGTTTTCATTTGAGTCTCTTTGAAACTGTGTTTATCCTGTGAAGTAATCCAGTTCCTCTACTGATAAGCATATGGAGAAAGTGTCAGTTAAAATAGTCACTTGCCATAAAATAAAATGCTTTTATTGCAATTAAACTCTTCATTATATTATTCAAGTTGGCACTAAAATACTGCTTAGGAACAAAAGAGCTCACAAGACAACATGCTAGATGAAAATTTCAGGACATGTTCCAAAAGCAGCAAGTGAAGCAAACACTTGCTGAGGAAGCTTTAACAGAAACATGTATTTAGACTGCTCAGTGAATTTGCTCTTCCAGTGGTCACATCACATTTGATGTTAAAATATCCTACAGAACCATCATGCGTGATGAAACAAAACAGTAGTTCACTGAAGTTGCTACAGTTCAACTAATGAAGAGCGTGTAAAACTCCCCAGCTCTACTGGTCTCAGCAGAGATTCATCTGTTATACCCCCTGACCACCATCTCAGCACGAATCTACCCTTCCCTCTTTCTTTATTGACACAACTGACCCATCCATTCTACCCTGACATACTACGTACCTCTTTTCATCCTCCATTTAACAGCATTAACTTATATCCCTCAGGCTGGTGTGAGCCTCTCCTGCTTATCTTAGTAGTCTGCCTACCTACCTCAGGCAACACAACTGCCATGTCCCAGCTTCTCTGGTCTCATTTCAGCCACTAATCCACAGGCCAAGCTGTAAAAGCCTGAGCCACTTCCAATATATTTCATTTTCCTTTTTGCTCTCTGCCTGAGCTCTGCATGCTGAAGAGGCAGCTAACAGCCACCAGCAATCAGCTGTGCACCACCTGCTCCTCTAATCTCTCAACTATCTTCCTCAGATTAAGAAGAAATTTGATGCACCCTCAACCCAGTCTGGAATGAAAAGACGGCTGGAGACATCACAGGAACATGAAATAGCCACCACAGTTCCCACAGGCAAGTAATCAGGCTCTCAAGCCCAGGTACAGCCATCAAGTTTCCACCTCACAGAACCACCCAATCCCTGCCAGAGATCCCTTGCAACTTTAAATGGAACAAGCAGGACGTCCTAGAACTTCAAAATCCCAGAAGGATGGAGATTTGTCAGCTAAGTACATAGTCTGCTAAAATAGAATACAGACATAATGAGCAACAGGGTTTAATTCAGTTTGGTAATTATTCCACCTGTGGCCTAGGGTATTAATTCTGATAGATGAAGTCTTAGAGAACAAAGTCATTACTGATGCCTTAGAGGTGAACGCCTACAAAGTAAATGGCAGCTGTAAATCCATCAGTATCTAATTGTTGCAGTCTATATTGCAGTGTCTTTTTTTGCCCTGACTTCTGTTCGTGTCAGGTTTCCTTTCTTCCCCCTCAGTCAAAGATTTACTTTTCCCAATAATTAAATTAAATTAGATAAATTTGAGCCTAACTGAAACTAATTTTGTATAATATCCCAAACCATTTGCATGAGACTTGTAAAATTCTCCAAGCTATTTCTCTAGGCAGTGGGGTAGCTAATTATCTACCTCTCCAAGCAGCCTTCGAGGCATCACAGATCATTTGTTTAGAAGACAGAACAATTTCATTCCTTTGGAAAAAAAAAAAAAGTGCCCATTACAATCCTAATGCATCATGAAAATTCCATGTTTCCACAGAGATTAAGTAATTCACCCTCCATGGAATATATTTGATCATATAATAACAGGCAGACATGATCATTATGCCTTGAATATCATCATTTAGGAAATCAATCCCTAAACTTTTGGGATATGCAAATCCAATTGATTCCTGAACTGTGAAGCTCTCAAAATGAACTAAGACTTTTGTCACCGTACAAATAGTCACCATCCCTTTAGGTTGGGCTGTGCCAATTTATCTTGTAATCTCTCACATAAAACTGTTTCCATCTAGCCCAGTAAGACCCCTTTTGTCCATAACCAGCTGGTTTACAGATGACAAAATAAACTATGTAAGCACTGTAATTGTGACTACTGTTCAGAAAAAGAATTACAAAGAAAAGCTGAATATGAAATTGCTCACGGATAGTCCCCCCACGTGTCCTTGGAATACAAAGTTAGCCAAAGTCAATCCACATTTTATTCCCTTGCAAACACAGCAAATTCCCACCAGAGTTGCCCTCACTACTTGTTTCAGTATGTGCCTGGGCTGGGTTCTCATCTGCCCACACGGCTGCATCTTAGTAAAGCACAGAGACTCAAACTGTCCAGATCCCTCTCGACTATTCCACTGTGGAGAATTTCAACTCCACAACAAAAGAATGAAAGCAAAGTGGCGTGTTACTGAGGCAAGACATCCACAACAGCAAGTCCTGTACACTGTGTCTCAGGTATCCAAATATAAAATTATTCATACAAGTTTAACACTAGAGTTCTTAACACTACTTGACAACTGAAGTTTTCAACTGATTATATCATTTCCGGAATCTACAATCAAGCACAACTTCAACTAAAATTTGTTTACAGTACCTCAAAACATACCCTCAATCCACAGGTAGCCAAGGACTGTTGGCTTGGGTCAGTACCCCCTCCAAGGCTTACCTACGCTAAGGAATGAAGGACAGAACCACTTAGCATCTACGCAGAGGAGTCAGTTACGCTTTAGAATACACCCACTGATTGCAATTAAGCCAAATACACTTGTTAGTGTGCTTTTGGTTTGGTTTCAAAACAATGCCTATCTTGAAGGGAAAAGAGCATTCACTCCTAACACAGGACAAGAGAAATCTCACAGAGCAATTCTCATCAATATTTTATCCTTCGGTTCTATGTCTGCAGTACCCCAAGACAGAGCTCAGGAGAAGCCTATTCATAACACGAGACATGAGGGATTCACATCATGAAGCCACTGTGCCAATTTTCTCCCTGCCTCTCGTTAGCAAGAGATTAAACCACAAATGATTCACCAAGGAACGTTACCACATTACATTTACAACCGAAAGAAAACATTTTCAATTCCCTGGAGGGCTCAGTTACAACCCTTCAATTAAGCTACAATCCCAGTCTCAATTCACATCTGCCTAAATGATTTCTGAGGACTGACACAAGTCAACACACAACTCTGGTGCTGAAGTCTTTTCCCTAAGCCTCAAATTCAAGTACTGGCCACAACATCTCAAGTACAGGTCTTAGGAGTAATGGCTTCTAAAGACTCGAGCATAATCAACTGCAATGGAAAATAACAGTATAAATTATTCTGATGCTTTCAAACCTTTGAGTACCTTTGCACCCATACAGAGAGGAGCAGCTGATGTTTGAGTATATCATCCACTTTACAGCTACAAGTTAAAAGCCACTGTGTCCATGAACAAAAAGACAAAGTGTTCTGACTGTTGTTTTTTAAGCAAACTTGATTTTCAGAAGACGGAGAAGTATTTCCTCCTGGCAGTTGAATAATTCAGTTTAAAGTTTCAGCTCTCCCCATCTGACTCCATTACAGTATTTTCACTTCTATTACCTGCAGACTCACTGAAGTTGTAACTCGAAACATGAAAGGAAGTTTCCTCATCCTGCATTTCCCTGTGAAAGGAGAATCCAAATACTCAACACCAGCCACAAAACCAGCAATGCCCCAATGAAAAGATGCAAGAACTCAAATTATCCAGGTGCTCTCAGGGAGACAATAAGAATTTATTTCAGGTGCAGAGTAAACACATTAATCAGAACGTCAGCTTAAAATGCAGTAGACCTGGTCTGGAAGCAACCTCCTAATCATTCCTAGCTAAGTTACAGTACTCCTCAAGGCCACTGTTCCTCAGCTACCAGCTCCCCTAATATCCATGGAAAAAAACAGTTCTTTCCCTTCTCGGGCTGGAAGTACAGATAATACAACTTTGAAATTCAATGGTCGTAAGAGCAGCATAAATCTTCTGGGGTCAAATCATTCCTAAAACATCCCAAAAAACTACTGGAATAGTTAAAAATCCTTGCTCAGACTCACGGATGACAACTAAAAAGACACCACTTGACTGGAATAGGCTTCGGAAAAGTAAGATGTGAACCAAGCAGTATCAGCACATTCATATTTCTTTGAACTACTCTGATCTGAGAAGCAGGTTGTATGGCTCTTATTGTCAAGCTTTTTATGAGATTTCTAATAGTTTATGAAAAATAGCAAAAACTACAAATACCAGAAATATTTGTAATTCTTCATGTCTTCAGTGCTCATAAGTTTTATTCCGTGAGATAATGATTTAATGAACTTGAGCTTAGTATAATACTTAGTCTGATAGCATGTCCAGGAATCATCTAAAATAATAACGAAATGTCAAGCAAAACGGGTAACAAAGTTTTTGCTACAAGAAAGTTCATACACAAAGAAAACTAAGTGAAAAAAAATATAAAACTGCTGAAAATAGTATTGTTATGCTGTGTTCTTGTGGGCATAATGAAAACAACATGTGAAGTACCTATTTGATCAACAGAGGAAAACCAGAATATGGCAGTGATCATAAAAGATGCATCTCACATCAGGAAATAAAGAAATATTGAGTGTATCAGATATCAGGTATTCAGCTGCTAAGTAGAAAACTTCTTTAGAAACAGTACAATAAAGACAGTAATTAAAGTAATATTTTCAAGTACAGTTTCCGAACTGTTGTAACAAAAAAGATGCATAATTTACTTGCACTGAATATTTTTTGCATGCAGATGTCAGATTTGTGCCACACTGAATTTATTCACTATCCTTTTTTTAAACCTAGACTTATACATTTTCCATGAAGTTATTTAAATACCACCCCAAGATGCAAAGTTAGCTCTGTGACTGCAAAGATTTTTTTAAAAGAAGTGTGAAATAATTAACATATTCATGAAGGAGTAGAATAACTGCAGACTTCAGGTGAAACACTAGCGTAAGTATCACCAGAACTAAATTGCATCAAAAGGTGCTAAACCCTGTGAGTGTGATTGCTGTAGCATCACCAAGACTTACCAAAACAGCCAAGTGTTCATGCAAGTCCCCAGGAGCTTTAGAGTCAAGAGAAACCTGATTTCTTAGTGAGGACACCAGCCTGAAAGCAGCCACCATGAGGGCACATAACTGAAGAAGAAACGAGAAAAAAGGAAGAGTTTCCAGTCAGACAGTAACGTTCTGACAAATTCAAAATAGCTGTTTTGCAAAGTGTACACAAATTTCTTGATTTGCTGCAGTTTCCTCCAATTACTACCTTTTAAAATAGACTACGAAATCCCTGCACAATAGATCTCTGTGAATGTTGGATGCTTACTGGAAAAGCAGCATTGATTGTATGGCATTTTCCACAGTACAGACATGGCATCCAGAATAACAGTGTGGGAAAGAGCAGCACATTAGGATACACCTGATCTGTTCAGGTTCCTTCAACTGCTTCCCCCATCCCCATTTACAAAGCAATCAATGCAGCTTCTGTCTGTTGGTCTCACTACTGCACTACATCCTGGCTCCTGAACAGAAAAATTTCAGTACTGCAATTCTGTCAACGTCAGAGCAGAGAATTAAGTGATTCTTCTCTACAAATATCTTCACACCTTTAATTTTGCTGTTACTGTTGAAGTCTTCCTTTATTCATGACTATGTGCCTTGTCTTTACTGGAGTCTTCTTGCCTGTAGTTTCTTCAAATGAAAAAGAAAAAAAAGTAGTCTTAGTAACTGAACTGCAACAGCACAGAATTCATAACAACTTGACGCAATTAAATAACTTGACACAGTACAATTAGATAATAAACATTTTTAGTTCAAATTGTCTGCAGTTTTCCAGGGAGCACAGGATGGGATAGTAGTAGCTTTTTGAGATGTGCTCCCATCACCATCCTTGGGACTGCTTTGATTTCAGTCAGCTGAGTTCTTCTGATGAGTTACAAATCATCTCAAATGCACGTGAGCTCTGAATCATAAAAAATAAAAGCTAATAACTAAAGAAAGCATACAAGCACACACCCCATGCATCCCCTGTGACATTCACTGTCTTGTGCACTGCTCAACTTCATAGAATGCAACTGAAGACATATGTATCTATGGCAATGTTCTCCACATCACAAGAGTCAGACTCCTTTCCAGCTGTTACAGGTGAATTTGCACATCTGACATTTGTCTGCATTTGTTCATTAGCCCTTGTCTCCCTCCAGTGGAGGAAGAATCAGACCTCCCTGTATATTAAACAAGGTTCACAGACAGCTGTTACCTGACTAAAGAGTACAGCTTGGCCTTCCTCGAAGGTTTTGTTGCCCCAGTGAAGGAGATCTGAGGAATACTCACTGTTCCTCAAAGTATTTAAATGATGTGAAGCTACATGCTAATTCCTTCTCATCTCCAATTCTTTCCTACTCAAGGTCAATCCTGTATGACAGACAGTCTTCTTCTTATGCAGTCCTAATTTAACCCGTTAGCAAACTTGATCAGTACGTTCGTAGTTTTGTCCTACTTTTTGGTAAGCAGTGAAAACAAAAAATAAGATCAATGTCAAAACCAGTCCTCAAGAACCTTCACTAATAACCTCCCTCACGTCTTACAGTTTCCTTCAACACAGTTTCTCATCTCCTCGAGTCACTCCCAGCATGACACTGGTACTAAGCACCCTCTCCTGCAGCTCAGCTAGCACTTCCCTACATAGCACCAGATGCTGCTGAGGTTGGGGTCCAGTAAAATCTTTCCTTTGCTCTGAAAACAAGCGACATGGCTATGAGAGGGACAGAGAGCACATCACAAGAGGTGTTGGCAGGGAGAAAATTAAAAGCCATCATACCTGACCCTGGTGGGACCTTATCTGAAAGGTTACGTACAGCTTTTTCAGTTAGCCAGAAGTGGAGAAAAAAAACCAACTCCATAAATGAATGCAATTAAAAATCCACACATGACAGCCAATGGAAGAGCTTGTTTTTATAGCTTACCAAAATGAACAGCAAGTGCTAGAAGTTGGGGAAAAAGAAAACTATTTAAGTAAAAGAACAACAATGAGAACTGCCCCAATTCTAACTAACTAAGCATTTTGGCTAAAAGGAGAGCTATATCATGAAGGGAACAGCACTGTGGAATAGAGTTATGGCTGGCAGGAGGGAATCAAAAAGCATTTTATGTTGAACAGTTTCATTTGTAGGACACACAGTGTGGCTGTTGTCCCAGCTAAAAGCAGAAGGCTCCCTAGCCCAGTTTCTTCCACTACTTGCACTGATTCTTTCCAGAGCTCCTCAATGCTAACTTCACCTCCAATGCAAGTCAGGAGAATAAGAGGCTCATTTGGTGATTTACTGCAGATAGGAAGGAGGAAAGAGAAGGGGAAGAGGGTTAACTGCAGCATGAGAGGATATTTTGGAATGTCAGAGTTTGCTATATTGTCATTTCCATGAGTCTATTTTATTTAAAATTAAAATATCTCACAACTACTCTGAAGAACCAGCTGGTTTAAACTCACTTAAACAGGTGCAGCACTCAGAATTTTCCCACTATGTTCTTGGGAAGGTGGTTCTCTCTTGTATCTCTAATTCATCCTCTGAAATTATTCCATTTAATAGAATTCAGCCTCAATTCAATCATTCAAAAATAAGTTGATAAAATCATTTACTTAACCCCACTATAAATATTCTGTTGGTAATGGCTCTGTTGATCTTAAACTCCTTTTTACTTCTTTCTCTTTATATAAGAAAGGTTGAGGTTTAGCCTGTCAGTATATCCCCTTCTACACATCAGTATCTGCACTAACACACAGTATGGCTACCATAAGCCTATAATGGAAACAGGCAGCACTTGACAAAGAATATTCCCACACCAACTTCAAGTCCTCCCTGCTTGAATAGAAGCAAAACAGACCTTGGAACATCCTGCAGACATTCTCGTTCCTCTTGGACTTGCATGAAATCAAGTTATCAAAAGAAAAAAACCATAGCAAGTTTTACATTAAAATGAACTGCCCACTTCTCCTTTTAGAAGAGTCAATCTGATCAGCTCACTGGTCAGTGCATTTGCCCAGGATGCCAGCCAGCCAGCCAAGCCAAAATCCCTGCTTTACCTGACTTAGCATCAGCTCAGTGCTCGAGGAACCATCCTAACTACCAATCAAGTAATTCAGTTTCAGGCAATACTTGGTTATTTACATTGAATAAAAAAGCAAACACACAAGTGAACATCCAACAGAGCTCTCACTTCTGTTGTGGATGGTAACACCACACACTGGTGCACAAGGATAGGAGAGCTCACGAAGTAACTGGGTATCAATTACTCTGCCTCTGTCACTTCGGCTGAAAAAACATCACAAAGAAAATTTCATTAGCATTGGAATACCATGAAAGGCACCAGTTTCTAATGGAAACAGTTCATACACCTACTGCCAACCAAATCTGCAAAATAAAAAGCTACAGCATTAGTAAAATTGCCATTTAAATCTCAGCTGGCTATTGCTTAACAGTAGCAAGTACCTGCACTGTACCTGCCCCATTTCTTGAAATCACACAGACATTACTGATGACACTATTTAGTCAGCATGTGACTAAGATGAGCAATGGTTCTGCTTTCAACCAGAATCTTTGAATAAAACAAAACAATCAAACACAAGAGAAAGCCCATCAGTAGCTATTTCAGACTTGCAAACCTAAAGTAAAGCAGCACTGACAGGTCAGACTTATTCAAGAAACTTGTCAGGAAGCGAGATATGATTACTTCTGGAGCTATTTCTCACATAGCAGACTTTCCTGTATAGATTAATTTTTTCCTCAAGAAACAAAATGTAATTATCTGGACTATATATATTTATTTGCCAAAGAACAAATGAACATAAGCAAACGTGGCATCTGAGTTGCTGTGCAAGAGGCTTTCTAGTGGCTCCCTTCTTTGGAAGCACCAAAGCAACAGTGCCATAGAGAACCAGGGGAACTGCTGGTTATGTTTCACAAAACTTACTAACCCAAAGACAGCAAGCATTAGGATGTTCAACGTGAATAAGCAACAATTCTCGATAAAGTAAGGCTTACTTGCTTTCTCTTAACAAAACAATCAGTTATCTTTTCCAAAGACAAATGAGGAGATTTCATGGACAGAGCAAGACAAATTTGAATACTTTTATTTTCTTTAAATATGCAGACTAGGGGACTCACTTTAATGCCTAGAAGTGACCAAGTCAGTTCAAATACTCCCATACATTTTTATATGTACTCTTGTAAAATACTTCTTTTCCTGCATTAGAAGGCTGAAAGAATCGTCAAGGATCACTATATGAAGCCCTGCTGTTTGTTAATAAAGATGCTTATGAGAGAACTAAGTAAACTGCTGTGGAGAAGCCAAGTAGTTCAACTCCTTTTACTCTCCATGGCTTATTTGGAAAAATAACATTATTTCCTCTCCCCATCTTTCTAGTGCGACTGATCAACCTTCCAAAAACACAAAAGAAGCAGAGTACTTACCTTGCCTTTTCCCCTCTGGAAAGAGGCACAGAAAAGAAATCTCACCAAAATATCAGGTTCTAACTTGTTTCAAAATGTTATTACAAATTTTATTGTGTTCTATGTAATTGTCACTCCCTACAGCACATTCCCAGCTGATGTGCTGAGCAAAGCTTATGAAAACAAAGCCGAACAGTTTGCAACAACTTTCAAGAGAAGTGGACTAACGAAGTTCTGTTTGTCCCATCTCCAAGACAAATTTAATTGCTGGTGGTGTCACGGAATAAAAGGAAGTTCATGAATGAAAAATGATTTCCCTGTTTGGGAACAGGCTGGATAACTGGAGCAGGAGATCTTGATTCATTTCTCTTTCTGCTTGTATACTTTCTGATACAACTTGCAGGAAAACTATTATTTGGTCTGGGGCAGCAATGCAAAAAAGCAAAGGCTTGTTGTGTTGCGTCCCATGTGTCACTGTTCCAAATTCCCAAAGTGTATCAAAAAAAGGATAATTAAATACACCAACCTCCAAAACACATTCTGGATATTAATTAGCCAACAAATTTGGAGCACTTTGGAAATGAAAAGTGGTGTGAGTATTCACTGCTTTGCACATACAGAAAGCATTCATTTTTCGATCTGTAGGAAAAAAAACACACATTGAGATGTGGAACTCCAATTATTAAGCCTTTCTGCTAAAGCAGGTTTTCAGAATTATTTCAAGAAACAAATCTGTAGATTGTTAGTGTGGCTATTATAGAAGACTGCAACTCTTGAGGTCAGAAATAAAGTACAGAAGCTGTTAAAAATAGTGAGAGAAGTCAAATTAAGTCTGGGATAATAATTGGGAAACTTTTCTGGGTCTGTACAGAAGAGCAAGTTTATCAGTTTTCTAACCGGAATAACACATGACTCAAGAGAAGTCTAATTCAGCATATTCAATTCCAAAGTGAACAAATTAAACTATAATTAACACTCTTCACTGAGTTATGATCATTATGTGCCTGAAATGGTTATGAGCACATCAATTCCTTCAACTATTTCTCTATATAAAACACAGTCACACAAGTATTCAGCTGGTAAGGGACCATCGGAGATGTAGCCCAACTCCACCGGCTCGCAAGGGTCAACAAGAGCAGGCTGCTCAGGACTGTGGCTGGATTTTAAGAAATCTCAAGGTTGGAAATGTCTCAGCTTCCCTGGGCAATCTGTTCCAGGGTATGACCAAATTCACACTGAAATCTT